CTCCTCCATCATAATGAGTTTGATTAATTTTAATTTTTTCGAATCAAAATAAAAATTTTGATTATAAATAAAAAATATACATTTTACACTATGTATTAATTAAAGGAACAATTTGTAAGAATATATTACAAATTAAATCATTTGTATACCAATATGTAATGTAATTTTTAGTTAATTGAAAGGAGTAACTAAAATCTGTATAGTTTGACTCAAAAAGTCAAACTGAACAAATTCATTAAGACAATAGTAGTCCTCCGCATTAAGGTCAAAATGATACAAACAACACACAAAACATATGTAGAAAATAATTAGATGAGAAAATATTTCTGTATTAAATTATCTTGTGAATACAAAAATCTAGCTCTCTTTTTATAAGAAAAGGATAAAACAAATAAGAAAATTTATATTCCTACTAAGAACTTATTCTTTATGGCTTAAACTCTTTTCGTATCTTCTAGTTTTTTCTAGTCCCTTTCAGTTTCTTCTCATTCTTTCTAGTTTCTTCCAGTTCCTTCCAATTTTTTCCAACTATTCTCAATTTTTTGAACTCTTTCTACTTCCCAACCAATTACTCAAAAATGATATATTTTTAATGTGATTATTATTATTATTATTATTAAAACTGTTATGTTCATAACTATAGTTTATAAATTATTTTTTCATCTCACTATTTTTACGATTCACAATCATTATTTTTTCTTCAAATTTTTAATATGAATAAGATATTTTTTTTGTATCTTAATGTACATGATAAAACAGGAAAACATCAATAATTTAAACTATATTAAAAAATTATGGATAAAATAGTTACATAGAATGTTTTATTAATCTAACTTTATAAAGACCTCTCACCTTTATCTTTATTACGCAAAATTTTCTCATTTTTCTAATTTTTATATAAAAAAATTGAAAACCAAAATAGTTTAGAGAAAACGACTAAAATATGAGCAAAACATAAAAATAAAAAAAAAATTATGTATTTATTCCAAAAATAGAACTTATAATGAAAATAAAATGTCAATCATGAAAGAAAAAATAGGTTTGATTACATTATGTTACATGTCTGATATTTAAATAAAAATCTTGTAATATATAAAGTATAATTACAAATATATTATTTATAATAAATACTACATAAATAAATTGAGGTGCAACGTAACCACAAAAACGTTTTAAAATTTAACATTCTGAGATTTATGCTAACTTTGTATTATAATTCTTTTTTCGCAAGAGTAGTGTTTTGTATTTGAAAAATAACAATACTTTTTTATCTTAAAGACATTCATTAAGATAATGTGATGATGATGGTGATGATGATGGTGATGATGATGATGATGATGATAATAATAATTAATAATAATAATAATAATAATAATAATAATAATAATAATAATAACAATAACTTATAACAACAAGAATTAGAATAAGAATAATATAAAAATACACTAAAATAATTTTTTTAAAATTTTTTTAAGTACTCCAATTTTTTGAAGTTTTTCCAGTTTCTTCCCGTCATTCCAGTTTCTTTCAGTTTTTTCTAGTTTTTTCCAGTTCCTTCTAGTTTCTTCGAGTTTCTTCCAAATCTTCAAGTTCCTTCCAGTTTCTTCTAGTTCCTTCTAGTTTTTTCCAGTTTCTTTCAACATCCAGCTTTTTGTTTCCAGTCCTAAAAAACAGGTTCTAAAACAAGAATTAAGCAAACTATGAAAGATATTAAACTCAATTCCTTTGGAATTCAGTTTCCTTCTTCGATCTGACTTCCTTCTTATGTCGCAAACACCCCCCTCAAGCTGGAGTTAGGGGTTTCACATGCCGAGCTTAGACATCAAAAGATTGAACAAAGCTTGAGGAAGTTGCTGCCAACATTTTCCGCTGCTGTGTATTCTCGTAGTTGCTCCACTACGGTGCCATCTCGTCGTTGATCTGTTACTGTGTTGTCTCGCTTTGCTCTGTTGCTGTGCTTTCTCGATGTTGCATGTTTCTACGCTACTCTACCGTCTCTGTTGCTCTGCTTGTTTACCATGATTTTTATTCTAAGGAACTCGAGAGATCTGGTACATGAATCCTTGAAATTAGCAATTTCACCTAAAATCAATGATCGAAGGATTGAGGAAGAGGGCAAGGACACTCGCCAAAATCTTGCCAATGTATATCAAGATGACGTAGCATCGTACAAACTTCTTGTTGGAGGTGATATATCCCTGTCTCCAAAACAATGGAGTCGAATGGGATAGAATTGAGTGGAGGGTAGAATGGACAATTAGAGCATTTGAATGATACTTAAAAAGAAAAGTGGATAAAAACAATGAGACAATCAAAAAAGGGAAGGTGGACAAAAATAGTGAGACAGAGGGAGTAAATAATAAGAATAAGTACAAGTCAAACTTTGGAAAAAGGAAAAAGACTAAAGTATTAGTAAAACATTAAAAATATACCAAAATTAGAGTTCTGTGTTTTTTTCCGAAACAAGAGTTAAAATGCATTTACATCATCAATCATGACCATGTACATGACCAAAAGGTATAGTAAAATGTGTATGTGTAGTTGAAACTTGAAACTTCAATTTAGAAAATGAAAACATAGAAATCTTATTTTGAAACTTTCTTAGTGGTTTACTCCTATTTAATGTTATTTCTTAAATTTTTTTTAAAAAATGAGTAAATTTCTAAAATGATACGGAGTACTAAATAACTACATGTTTTTTCACGTTAGTACCCAAGACGAACTATTTATCGAAATAGTACTCGTTAATTGAAAATAACATTCAGTTTATCCCCCTGTTAACAACCATCAAAACTAGGTTAATTTTCACCAATGGTACCTGAACTTTAGCTGGAATTTCGAAGTGGTACCTAAACTTCAAATCATTTCAGAAAAATCCCTGAACTTACATAATCCTTTCACTAAAAGTCCATTTATCCGTTTCCAGATTAACTTCCGGTCGTTTGGACCAAATTAGAATTTTATATATTTTAAAATTTTTAATTTGACCCCATTTTTTTTTTCTTTTCTTCCACCTCCCACTCCCTTCTTTTTCTTCTTCTTTCACCCCTTTCTTTTTTTCTTCTTCTTCTATACAATTCACAAAAGTACTCCGGCGAGGAATTTAATATACTCCGGCGATATCCTGAAGGAGATGGCGGTTTCCCGGCGAGTTTTCTCGGGCGGCGGCGGGGGGGACTGGAGTGTGTACTTCTACGTGTCCCCGTACGAGCGGACGCGGTCGACTCTGCGGGAGATGGGTCGGGCCTTTCCTCAGAAACGGGTCATCGGGGTGAGGAAGGAGTGCCGGATCTGGGAGCAGGACTTTGGGAACTTTTAGGTGACGGAGAGAATGAAGAAGAAGAAAAAAATAAGCAACAAATTTGGTCGATTTAGGAGGAGTCCCCAAAAAGTTTTGCTCTGTTTTATTTTTAAAATAAGCAACTAAGCAAGAATTATCTCAAATAATTCAATTTTTCATGTTTTTTGATCGACGAAGGAGACAGAACCCCATATTCTTTCACGCATTTATCTTTTCAATTAGTGCTCTGGACTCGAATTTCAAATTTTTTCTTTCCTTTATGTTCAGTTTTTTTTATGAATAACAAGTAGGGGTGAGCGTGGTACGGTATGCTACGGTATTTAGCTCGTACCGATACCGTACCAAATATTTCGGTTCGGTATGGGATTTTATGTTGTACCGATCCCGATCCCGAAGCATCGGTTCGGTATGGTTCGGGATGGTTCGGTATCGGTTTCGGTACAAATCGGGATGAATATATACGTATCTAGTTAACATCATAAAATGTAACAAAACCTTTTATTTTTGAAAAATTGAAAGTACATTTAATCAAAGAAAGATAAAAAATTTACAAATGAAAAAATAAAACACAAGAAATGCTTATGAAAGTTAGTTTATATTTTACAAACTAAAGAGAACGAGTGATAACAAAGTATTATTTCAAATATATGTTAATATTCTTATACTCATCTACAAAAAATAAAAGCTCTTATTAAATTGCAACTTAAACATAATGAAATTAAATTAATTGTCTATATAAATTTTTTATTTAATGAAGAAATATAAAAAAAATTATAATTTTTATAATATATTAGTATATATGTTCGGTTCGGGAATTTCGGTATGGGAAGTAACCTCGTACCGTTCCCAAATACCGGACCGACCGTTCGGTTCGGTATGGTTCGGTTTCTTTTCGGTACTTTTATCGGTTCGGTATTCTCGGTTTTTTCGGGAAATATCGGGATCGGTTCGGTCCTTACTCACCCCTAATAACAAGAAAGTGGGTGAAAGAAGAAGAAAAAGAAGCGAATGGGAGGGGAAAGAAGAAGAAGAAAAAAGAAGGGAGAGAGTGGGGGCTGGCGGGGTGGGACTGGGAGTGGGGTGGGGTGAGGAAGCTTTGAAGAAAAGAAGAAGAAGGAGGTAAAAGAAGAAAAAGAAGGAAGTGGGAGGGGGAGGAAGAAAAAAAGAAATGGGGTCAAATTAAAAATTTTAAAATATATAAAATTCTAATTTGGTCCAAATGACCGGAAGTTAACCTAAAAACGGGCAAATGAACTTTTAGTGAAAGGATGGTGTAAGTTCAGGGATTTTTGTGAAAGGATTTGAAGTTTAGGTACCATTTCAAAATTACAGCTAAAGTTCAGGTACCACTGGTGAAATTTACTCATCAAAACTACATTATAATTTATAATAACTTTCCATAAAGATCATCTCAAATTGGATGTTATTTCAAATTAGTATAGATTTAAAATAAAAACTCATAAAAAATGGTCTCCTGACTTTGCTCTAACATCGTAAACCAATTAAAAAGGAAGACTTCTGTTTTGGTTTTTTCACATTTAATGAATTTTTACATCAAAATGGATCAATTTAAGAAAATATCCCATAAGAAAGGATAACTTTGAAAAAAATAGTATAAAGTTTATCATTGTTCTTACACCTTTTTAATAACCGTTAGTCGGGGGACTAAATTCATACTATCTATTAATTCATTTTTAGGACTAATTTTGGAAAACACGTAATTATTTTGTATGGAGTAATATTTAGAGAATTTACTCTCAAAAAATCGTTTTAACTTTTTTTTTTTTTACTTCTTTTCTTTTCTTTCAACCAAGGAGAGTAATGGAGACTGGTGTTCTTCTGAGAAGTATTCTCTTTCATCTCTCTTTCTCTGCTCTTCCTCTCCATTTCTCCCGTTCGTTTGCTCTTTCTTTGCCCGTCGGCATCCACCCCCTAGGTTTTCTCTCTTTCTCTTCAAACACTCCATATCTATGGAGCATAATCTTTCTCAAAGTGTAGGTGTTGACTACATGGTGTTATGCGATTTCAGATGAGGAGCACTATGCCCGGGAGTTGATCGAATGTAAAGATGGGTCAAAATCTTTCACCAGAGACCGCCTGAACGACGATTTCTGTGACTGCCTCGACGGCACAGATGAGCCCGGTATGAACTTTAGCTTCAATCCCATCTCCTATTTTTCCCCAATTGGTTCTGGATTGGATAGTTCGTGGTTCAATTGACTCACCTTGTTCTACTTGGTTCAGCACAGACTTATATGGTATCATAGCATTCTTCACCCAGTTTTAAAAATTAAGGTTTCATGTGTAAGATTCGAAGTGACCAGGGTGGGGGGGTGGGGGGGGGGTGGGGGAGTGGGGCTA